AAAACTCGAGTTGTTGAACAGTTCAGTTTTTGTTTTTTGGATCTAAAAATGATTAGATTTTCACGTGAATTTATTGATTTTCCGTTAGCAATCTTAGTCCAAAATCGGGGCAAAAATATTAGTCGGAAATGCAACTTTTTGAAAAAAAAATTAGCCCATATTTTTGCTTTTGAGCAAAAACAAGGGGTAAATTGTAAGTTTGTAATTTTTTAAGTATATTTAACTCTTGATTTACCAAAGGTGAAACCTACCCGTTCGACCTGTGTTCCAGTCACCAAGGCGCCTGACAATCTTCCAAACAGTAACCAGTAAGTAGCTGTGGCATTGGAATTATCTTTCCTTCTACGTTGAGATCTAAGAGGATAACGGGTTTCCTATCAATTTCTAAAGTGTATGAATTCGAACTGTTCAAATGTATAGGTCCGATTCAGGAATAATCAAAAGTAATGTTAATTTTATTAATAAAACATAATAAAATATGAGACTTTCTCTTTATATCATTAATATTTTTTTTAGTTTATATAAATAAATAAAGCTAGTGTTTTCTATTTAATATATATTTTTCAGATTCTTTCTAGAATAATTATTTTAATGGTTTCCGATATTAATTAATTTTTATTAATTATAATTAGTAAAATTAATTGATATTTATATATTATTAGAGCAGCTCCCAAAGATAAAAATAATAAAAAATTATAATATAAAGAGAAGATTTCATATTTACTATATTCTACTAATAAGATTAACTCTTATTATATTATTTTTGATTACTATTATATATATTATTATATTATTTTTGATTACTATTATATATATTTTTATTTCTTAAGATATAATTGATAAAATAATATTTCTTATAATTTGAATTAATTCAAAAAATTTAATTTTCAAATTAAAATTATTTTTTTTGTAGCAAATTTGCAAAATTTTATACTCTAATATTTTTTAATTAACTGGAAAAGCAAATTTGAATAATTATAAAAGAATATAATTATAAAAAGATTTTTTAATTACTTGATAACTGAAAAACTCAAGATGAATAGAAAAAATGTGGTTATAGAGATTTGTCTATATTTTAAATAAATAAATAAACTTTTTATACATTAAATTATATTTTTATAAATTTAAAATATCCAAGCTCTATAATAATAACTACTATCTTGTTTAAATTATAATATATAATCCAGTATATACAAAAAATAAAAGTTAATAATTATTTCTAATAAAAGTTTTGTAAAATATAACTAATATTTGTAATTTTTTTATATTAAAGAAAGCATATTTTAATATGCCTTTTATATTATTTTAATAAAAATAAAACAAAACATTTTGCTTTTAAAGGATAAAATTTGTAATTTAATAATTAAAAATAATTTTTAGATATTATTACTATGAATTAGCAATTTTAAGAGTTTGCTAAATATATCTAAATATATCCTCGCTAGCTCTGTTGAAGTATGGCAAATGCGATTATTAAGTTTCTTAATGGTTTCGTTTCGACGTTGCATTATTAAGCTTTTATTATTCTTGATAAAAGATCATCTACATGTATCAAACACTAGCGTCCACTACTATATAAAAATTAATACATGTACATATATAAAAACCTCTTGGTTGCCGGGTCATATATTTCTGTTCTAATGTTATGAAACAAAACAATTATTTTGTATAAGCTTAGCTAAAGAATCATAAAAATATTTATTTTTGCACAATTTGAAATACTTCATAATCATCAACCTCAAAATTAACTTTACAATCATCAAAGCTCAACAGACCATGTTCATATGAACATTTCTGACAATAATTACCAGAATTAGGATGGAATAAGGCCAAATCAATTCCGCCTCCAAATAATGGCCCACATCGATCAAAACATCTTATATTATCCGTTGCAAAACATTTACTTATAAGTCCATCGGATTTATTTGGATCAAATTTGAATAAAAAGCTATTTTGTCCATCATAATCTTTGTTGTTTGAATTCCATTCCAATGGATTATATCCACCAATTATTTTTCCCGAATCTTTAACTCGAATGGTAACAACTGTTGGACCTTTGTTATCACAAAGTCGATGAAAATCAGTGGCAGATAATCCATCTCGACTACCTCGTAACAATAGCTTTAAATCGAATGAATTCACTTTTGTATCTTGCGACTTTATCCATTCCCTTATTTTTTGGAATTGATTTCGGGTAAGCACCATGGAATTATCAGACTTATCAGAATTACGAATAGGATATCTATTAGCTTGAAAATCTTCACTTCCCGGAACCAAGTAATGATGTAATAAATCCTTGTATAATTTGACTGATAAGAGT